CCCTTTTCAGCAGTAATCAAGTCCTCAGTGGTTTGGGAGGAACATTGCTGCCAATGAATCAATCTGATTCTGAAGAGTGACTTTGATTTCTTGAACAATATGTTCTCCCCAAATTGTTCTCTTGTCCATAGTCTGTCACTGGATGGGGCCATCTCCAAAAGGAACTATAGTCTGTTTTATTGGTGCAGGCAGTTCCATCACAGAATGATGAGGTCTGAGGGATGATATGTGACTGGCATATTCCCAAGTAGCACTACCAGAAGGAGATACAACAGAGCCCCTCTAGGGGGTGCTAAGTTATACTGATGGCTGTCCAGGAATTGGAGCTGCCTTGGGACAAGTCTTTTCTCCAGACTAATTTACGTGACAGGGTCAGAGATGCTGGGTGGGAACTGTATAGGTGCACATCCACAGAATCAGAAGGACATCAGGAGGCAGAGTGGGAGCTGAGCCGTTGCCCCCATTCTGAGGTCATTTTGAGATGGCCAGTTTCACAGAGGCTTGGCTGGGTGGGCTTTCATGGTCCACTCCTGGTCGGGGTCTACAGCAACCTTGACTTGTCGTGCGGTGTAGCCACAGCTTGATACCTGCGGCTTTAAGAGCTATAGGAGTGCTGAGGATTGGGCAATTTTTGTGTCCAGTGTTAGCCAAGTTTTCAAGAACTGCTAAAGTTGGGTGTGTCCATACTCTCAGAGGTCCCCTGAGGCTTTTGGGAGCAGCAGAGGTGGGTGTCCAGACAGGGTCTCAAAAGGAGACTAACTACATTTACAGGCCATGCGTTATACCCTAAACAGTAAAAGTGGACGAATTTCTGCCCAAGGGAGGTCTCTTTCTAGGTAATGTTTGATCGGTGTAAATTCAAAGTTCTACTTACTCTCTCAACCCATCCTAATGATTGGGGGCAGTAGCATGAGCACAAGTTCCAGGTTAATCCTCTGCGCAGGTAGGAAAGGCTTCTATTCTACTCAGCCTGCAAAAGTGCATGCCACAACCAGCAAGTATCCGTCCCCTTTGCTGGGGACCAGTTATGGATGTTTAAATGGGTAGGAAGGACATGCGTTTTTGTATCAGCTTGTAGGTCTGCTTGGGATTGTTCCAAGCACACTGCAGACAGGCTTTGCCAACTTGTTTGGTCAGAGTTGGTAATCTCCAGGCCACCAAATATCTTTGCAACAATTCTCATAGGGCAGATTTTCCAAATGGGTTGTTCCATGAGTTTGCCCAACTGGGCTAGGAGAGGTCATCTCAGGAATTACTATTTTTGACTCTGAGGTAACCAGCCAGCCCTCCGGGTATTCAGCGGCCCTTTTTTCGGTTATTCTTTTAATTCCTTCTGGCTTCCATGAAGGGAGCTCTGGGAGCTCCAAGGGTGTAAACATATTCTCTGGGCTTAATGGAAGGGACCGTGGTGCTGTGTCTCCACGGACTCCGACTTGGCTCTTTGTGTGAGCCTAACAGTGCACCAGTGCCAGACCAGGGGCTAGGGGGTGGGGGCCGGCAGACAGCCTGAAGGAGCTGTAGGATTTTGTGTCTGTTTTAAATGTCTTTGTCCTCTGAGGGAAGAAGTCCTTTTTCCCAATATATTGCAGCTTTGATTCTTTTGATGTGAAAGGCTATTCCTCCTCTTGTAGGCATTGGGTCCCATTAATAAA